GGTTTCAATTTTAAAGAGATGCTTGAAACAGCAAGAGATTATATAATATATACCAGCATGAAGCACTGACTATGATTAATCCAATATTTACCTGCAATAATTCCTGAAACAGATCCAATTCTTAAGGAAAAACATTATAAAATAATCAAGCATAAATATTGTGCTATACTGCATTAGCCCAGAAACATCATTACAGGGAAGACCAACTTAACCCCAAAGAGAGGACTCGGGCTGCAAAGGAAAAAGCACACATCTTAAATTCATCATCCCATACTGTAAGACTCATGGCTCAATGTCTACCCCAAAACCTATTTTCCCAAGGGGTCTCTTCCCTGCCCCAGATATGCTCTCATGTGCGTTGGTGGTTTTGCCTGCATGTGTATCTGTATATATGAGGGTGTCAGGTCTCCTGGAAATGGAGTTACAGACAGTTATGAGCTGCCATGTGAATGTTGGGAATTGAACCCAGGTCCTCTGGAAGAGCAGCCAGTCCTCTTAACCACTGAGCCATCTCCCCAGACCCAGATATGTTCTCTCAAGACTCCAGGGCCTTGCACTTGCCCAGCAGTCCTGCACTGGCCCTGCCTGCCCCCACTGGTAAGTGGCTGACCACAGCTTGACTGCTTATATGCGTGTAGATATGCCAAAACAGCTACAGCTATTACTAAGGAAACTCTTGGTTTTTCTATAAACACATGTGTTAAAATTTCACATTTAATTTTGAAATATAACTTTAAATTTTAATTATAGCATTTTTAAACTTATATATATATAGCCCTGGCCATTCTCGAACTTACTTTGTAGAACAGGATGGCCTTGAACTCAGAGATCTGCCTGCCAATGCCTCCTGAGTGCTGGGATTAAAGGTGTGTGCCACCACTACTTGGCAAAAGTTTGGTGTTTTTAATTGAGTCATCATCAGCTCACGGAATCAGACTTTAGATACAGTGTGAGGCAGCCTCAGACACAGCCATACATAATGACCTACATCTACCTGAGCCAACATGAAAGGCTCACCCTCAGGAAGCAACACTCAACAAGCCCATGAAGGCAAAGGAGGGTGAAGTGAGCCAGGAGAGTGGATGCAGGTGGCAGGGGAAGGGGAAGGGGTGGGAAGAGCGGAGAAGAGAGAAGGACTTCAGTATTTGTAAAGACTGTAAAAAAAATAAAAAATAAAAAGCAAAACAAAAACAGGATGGGTTCCCCACTGTCCAGACCTTTCTACCGGACCTTTTTCTGGAACACATAATACAGGTACTCATGGTGAAGAAAAGAGCCAAACCCTGAAAGCAAAAGTTTGCACCCAGGCCAAGTTGTAGCTTAACTTTTCTTTGTGAAACAGCAACTCACCCTTCAGGAGGATTTGTCAGTTTTTCTTCCAAATATTTCTATTAACGATCTACAAATCCACTTACCTGTCCAAGCCGTGTGAAAAATCTGTACACCACTGAGGGCTTCCCATGGACAGAGTCTCCAACACTGTCCCCTTCAGACATTCTGTAACTGAGATAAACACAAGATACTTTAAAAACAAAAAAGCATTCGGGATGTGAAAATGTTCCCCTCTACAGACCAATCATTTCATCCAAAGCATTCTTTCGCATTTTCACCAAACATCCTGTCTTCTCCATGTTCTGCCCTGGATCCATACTCCCAGAGCCAGGTCCTCTCCCTATCAAGACTAGCAGTTAGCCCATCAGTCCCTGCCCCTTTCTTATCTGGCAACTAAATGTAACCCTATCTGCCCCTGGCCATTTCAACATGCTGCTGGGATCCCAGGCAGAATTCACTACAGAACCTAAACAGCTAAAAGCATCATCACTCTCAATTTCACAGAGGACAAATCAGCAGACCAAGGCCAAGCAGCAGCTCGGGCCTGGCCGGATACCTAGCTCTTCAGATATGGACTCAGGGAAACTGTTAAGGGACCAGGGCCTTGGTCATCAATCCTACTTGAAAGGCAGGCAGGAAGAATCTTATGGTCCTGATCCTCTCAAATCTGTGTGTTGAACCTGTCCTAGTTCCTTCTGCTACAAAGAGTGAAGAGAAGAAACAAACTGTGATTCAAGTATGACTTAAATTTACCTATGCTGAGCAGCTGAGAACCTTCAGCAGACTCTCTGGCTACAATCAGTCTCAGGTTCATCATGTGCAGAATGATGCTCTTTTAAAAACTAGACATATAAGCAGACTTCAATCTGCAGCAAGTCTTGAGCTTAGTCTCAGCTCCCAAAGTGGGTAAGAAATCAGGCTCACAGAACAGGGCAGCCTGAGTAGGGCAGCAGGGCTGTAAATCCAGCACTTCCGGCCTAGCCTCTATGTGAACACCCTGGAAATCCTTTGAAAGATGTCAGTGACCTCAGAATGTGACCTTGGATGGCAAATGGGTACTCTTATAGTCTCCTCAGTAGCTACACAGGCCAGACTCAAGTCTGCATTAAGAGTTGTGAATGTGCCAGGCAGTAGTGGCGCACTTCTTTAATCCCAGCACCCGGGAGGCAGAGGTAGGCAGATCTCTGTGAGTTCAAGGCCAGCCTGGGCTACAGAGTAAGTTCCAGGACAGGCTCCAAAGCTACACAGAGAAACCCTATCTCAACTGCCCCCCTCAAAAAAAAAAAAAAAAAACAGCTGTCTTAGGCATGTTCTTTACCCTACGGTATACACAAATGTTCCCTTACTTTACAGTGTTTACCACTAAAACACATTTGCTTAAATTGAGAGTAATCTTGAAAAGGAAATACTAAGCCTAGTGGTGCATATCTTTAATCCCAGTACTCAGGAGACAGAGGCAGGTGAGTCTGAGGTCCATCTGGTCTACAGAGTGAGTTCCAGACCTGCCTATCTATATAGTGAGACCATTAAAAAAAAACAGGGCTATTCCTTTAAAGTATGTACTCTAAGCTGAACTGACTGCTTAAGACTTTGGTTCAGATGATACGTAACAAACGTATCAAAAACACACTACTCGAGTTTTGATCATCAGACAAACACTGATCTGCATCTTGATTAAACTCACTGCCAATTAACAAGCTGAGAGAAGCAGCATAAAGATTAAGACTGTGACCTTTGGAGTCCCACTGCCTGCTTCAGATCCCAGTGCTGCACTCACTTCCCGTCGGGATGAAGGCAACTAAAGAGTGCCCAGGGCTGGGATCTGGAAATGGGACGAGAGCCTCACTGCCTTCCTCAAAGGTTCTTATGAGGATCTAATGGCAGCCTGTGCTGAAGCTTCAGAGCCTGGCTTCAAGCAAGTGCCAGCCTCTCAACACGTCAGACTTGTTCCTGGATTAGGGAGGCCCAGCTGTTCTATATGCAGTCCTCTTCTCTTCACTCAGACAGAAGGTCAGAGAAGCACTCCAAGCTGTCCCAACTGACCACCAGTTCCATGTCACATCACTGGCTTCCTTTAACAATTGTTTTCCAATTCCTTTCTGGTAAGCACTCAACTTCCTCCCACTAGAATGCAAGCTCCTTGAGGGAGCTCATCTAGTTTTTGGATAGGCCTCACAACCTGCAGTGCCTGTCACATACCTACTGAAACTGCTCTGTTTCATCACAAAAAAGCAAGATTAAAAACTGTTCTAAGGTAGACAAGTACTGCACACAGGACATTCTCCCCGTGCCTTGCTCTAGAGCCCATTATTTGGCTAGTTTCTGCACTCCATGACTTCTAAGCTAAGAATATGGCACAGAGGAGAAAGCTCTCTGCCTAGTAGCACTTGCATGCTCCAAGAGTTGTTTCCTCTTTGACAGCCCTTCCAGCCTGGGCCCCTCCCACCTTTGAGGATGGTCATCGGGATCTCCCTCAGGCCTCTACTACCTCCACTGCACCTAATCCCCCAACACGCACACCAGGATCCAAGGGACAGAGTCTGGATTACTGATGTTCTTTTGAGCACTTATTCAGGAATTCCACATTGTGAACTGAAAACTCAACCCAACTAGTCTCTATTCTTAAGAGTGAAGGAAGAAAAGCCACTGGGGGTTCTTAGTGTAAAGGTAGGGAGCCCTCTTGCACTGATATCCTGCCAAGGAAGACAATGTAGCCTTATCAGCACGATGCTGAAAGTACAGCCTGGAGAGCTGGAGGTTTTACTTCCTTAATGTCACCATATAATCTAGAGTCATTTAACCATCACCCCTTCAATCCATTCAGTAATGTCTTCGCCCTCAGGCTTAATTCCTACACGTGTGCTTGCCTCGAAACCGAACACGGTGGTGGGACAGCAAGAGGACACCTAACGCATGCCCGCCCCGGACTCTCTGAGCTGTACGGGCAGCCACAGGCCTCCTTTCTCCAATATCCCACGGCCGGGATGGGCAGCGCTCGTCAGTTCCCTCGCAGACCCCTCCCGGAAATCGGCCGGCCCCCTGGCAACCCCTCGCCAGCCTCAAAGGCACTGCCCGGCCCCGCCCGCCCGCTCATGGCCTTGACAGTCCAGAGGAAGGCGGTGATGTGCCGCCCGGCCAGGTTCGCGCCACCAGCCCACCCCCAGCACCTCGCAGCTCCGCTGCAGCCGAGCCGCGGTCTCCCTCACGGCTGCGGAAGGAGGATGGCGGGCAGGGCGGCCGCCAGAGCTCGGCTCGGGATCCGGGAAGCTGTACAGGCACTTCCGTTCCGTCCTACGGCACCGCCTCCAGCCGCCAAGATGGCCGCGGGGCGGGGCCCAAGCTCCAACCATTTCCGCTTCCTGTATGGACGCCGAGGCCGTTGGCGGGAGTGCTTCCCGGCGGAAGGACGGGGCTGGCGGAAATGCGCCGTGCTGCACAGGCGCAGTGGTGTCCTCGGGCGCCGGACCGGACACCGTTGCTTCGGATGTTACGGTCTCCAAGACAGAGCCTGGCCACGCCCCGTGGCAACCGGAGGCCAATGACAAGCGGCTTTATGGTTGCTCGGGATCCTTTGGCGGCAAGATGTCGGCGACTGGCGATCGGACTCAGGCTCCACTCCAACCGCACCGGCACTCGCCAAGACGTCCGCCGCGAGACGGTACAAACTGCGTATCCCCTCTGGAGCTCGGTCGCTCTGCAGAGCAAGGCTGGCACTTGAGGCCACGCCAGTGGTGAAGCCTGCTCCTCAGACAGGCTTCGGTCGCGTTCGGGTGCCCGGCAGGCGTGGTCAAGGCTGCTGGCTCTGGGCCTGCCCTCCCTGGGTTAGGGGGCCGGGTAGAGTAGAGGCTGGCTAGGCAGGGTGAGCACGCAAGGCTTGGGAATGCAGGTCCACCCAATGCAGCCTGATGGAAAATTGCCCTAAAACCGGAGAAATAGGGTCGATATGAGGCCAGAGTCCAGGCAAATGCTACTGTCTCTCCGCCCCAGGCTGCGACTTGCAGGTAAGAAAGCAATGAGAGATGGGAGTTGGGTGTGGTGTCTCAGAGCCGCAAGATAAAAAGATGAGGCTAGCCAGGAGTCCTTAGGGATAAGTGTGGATTTTTGTTCCGTGGGGACAAGAGGATGGTGAAGGTCCTGGCAGGGTGGGCTCCTCTCTGTATCCTCACTGAAGCCGTTCCACTGCTGCTCTGCCCTCACCACCACCTATTGAAACCCTCGTAAGAGCCTGCGATCAGTTTTTGTCCTGGTCCTCCTCTTGCTGGGCTTACCTTTTCCTTGGTGCATGTCCATGTAGGAAAGAGAAGTGAAGCGTGGGCCAGCAGTAAGCAGAACTGAGCCCCATACATCTTGAGCAGTTAATCAAGGTGAAGTATGCTGTCATATTGAAAGAGTTGAGAGACTAGAAATGACCTGCAAACTACTCCAGACCCTGAGCTGCACCATCTCTGCGTCTTGATGTCAAACGGTCACTGTTCATCTTTTTTCCACATACAGGCTATGGCGTATATGTATACCCAAATTCTTTCTTTCGTTATGAAGGAGAATGGAAGGGAGGAAAGAAACATGGTAAGAAGCTTCTGGTCACTCCAGAGGCCATAATACCCTTGCAACTCAGAGCCAGTTTTCTGAGAAGCTTGGGCAGGCAAGGGACAGTAATGTCCCTGCACACTGGTACCACTTTGCCCCAGTCATGCTGGAACCAGTATACAACCAGTTCCTGTAGGCTTGGAGCTCATCATGTGCTGGTGGGTGCTGGAACTATTGGTGAGAGGGATAGAGTGAGGCAATTGATCCAAGTCTCTGTCTCTCTCTCTCTCTCTCCCTCTCGCTCACTCACAGGTGCGCATACACACGCACCATCATCTCTCTCCCTCGCTCACACACTCACACGGGTGTGCGCACACACACCATCATGGCATGCTGTGTGCTTGTTATTGCACACCCAGGCTCCTAGTCTTCAGCCTGAGTTTCTCTGTATTCCAAAAGAAATTAAGAAACAAAGTTAGGCCAGACGCACGCCTGGTGGTGGCGCACACCTTTAATCCCAGCACTTGAGAGGCAGAGGCAGGCGGATCTCTGTGAGTTCGAGACCAGCCTGGTTTACAAAGTGAGTTCTAGGACAGCCAGGACTGTTGCACAGACAAACACTGTCGGGGTGTGGGGAGGTGATGGGACACAAAATTGGTAGACAAGGAAGAGAAAGAACCCTGTTCTCTCCGTCATGTCTGTGGCAGCATTTATAGAAAACCACCAGACAAAAGCCAGAAGATACGTAGACATTGAATGTCTCACATGCTTTGAGACAGTGAATCTCTTGGTTCCTGGGAAAAGACAACTGTGTTATCAGCAGGCTGCCTCCTATTGCCTCTCTTAGCAGCATGGATGAGTTACATGCACGCAAGGCATTATGGCTAGGTTGTAGTGGTGCATGCCTTTAGTCCCAGCACTCAGGAGGCAGAGGCAGGCGGATCTCTTTAGTTAAAGGCGATACAAAGAAACCCTGTCTCAGAGAGAGAGAGAGAGAGAGAGAGAGAGAGAGAGAGAGAGAGAGAGAGAAGAAATAAAGAAAAAGAAAAAAAAAACCAACCCGTTGTGGTGGTGGCACATATCTTTAAATCTTGAGAGTTGAGAGGCAGAGGCAGACAGATCTCTAGTTCAAGGCTAGCATTGTCTACAGAGCGATTTACAGGACAGCCAGGACTACACATAGAAAAAAGAAGAAGAAATGACCATATTTTTAGAAAACCTAAGCAACAGAGGAAAGAAGAATAAAATAAACATTCCCTGGAATGGCTCACACACACACACACACACACACACACACACACACACCAGAAAAATGCTGGGTCTAGACGTTCTAGGACTTTTTTAATTTGTTGATTTTTTTTTCTGCTCAGTACATTAGAGGGCTTTTCATATCTACTGGCTACCAAAATGTTCTCATTTTCTTTTTTCTTTTTTTTCCCCCCGTCTTTATAGTTTTTTTGTTTGTTTGTTTTTTGTGTTTGTTTTGAAGCACAGTCTTACTATATAGCTCAGGTGGGCCTTGAACCTGGAATCCTTTTGCTTCAGCCTCCAAGTGCACCACTGCACCCAGCCTCCACCATTCTTTTCTTTCTCTCTCTCTCTTTTTTTTTTTTTTCAGACAGGGTTTCTCTGTGTAACTAACAGTCCAGGCTGTCCTGGAACTCGCTCTGTAGACCGGGCTGGCCTTAAACTCACTGAGATCCACCTGCCTCTGCCTCCCAAGTGCTGGAATTAAAGCATGCACCAATATCTGACTCTTTATTTTTACTTTTTTGTTTTCTTGTAAACCCAGGGCCTGTACATGTTAGGCAAGTGCTCTACCACTAGTCTATCCTCAATACCTTTCACATTTTGTTTAGTGTTTTGTGTTTTGGTTTTTCAAGACAGGGTTTCTCTTTGTAGCCCTGGCTGTCCTGGAACTGGCTATGTAGACCAGGCTGGCCTCAAAACTCAGAGATCTGCCTACTTCTGCCTCCTGATAGCTGGGATTGAAGGTGTGAGCCACCACCACCCTGCACACATACGTTTCTTATTTTTGTACTACCATTAAAGATTATTTTCCTGTAAGCAGGCGTCAAGACTCATATCTAAAACTGTTGTCAGAGCTACTTGAAATGCACCCATCTTTTTTAAGATTTTTTTTTTTTTTATTGTATGTGCATTGGTGATTTGCCTGCATGTATGTCTGTGTGAGGGTACCAGATTCCCTGGAACTGGAGTTACAGACAGTTTTGAGCTGTCATGTGGGTGCTGGGAATTGAACCCAGGTACTCTAGAAGAGCAGCCAGTGCTCTTAACTGCTGAGCCATCTCTCCAGCCCCAAGCACCCACTTTTAAGAAAGATGGCTCAGAAGTTAAGAGTGCTTACTGCTCTTGTAGAGGACCAGAGTTTGGTTCCTGGCACCTACATCTCAGGTAACTTATAACAGTCCATAACTCTTGCTCCAGGGGATCTGACACCACTTTCAGTCTCCATAGGCACGCTCATGCATGGGCACATGCACGTACATGTCCTCTCTCCTCATTTGGATAGAGGCAAGGTCTCTGTACGGCTCATGCCTCTGTGGTCATTCCAACTGAGAAGCTGGCATTCGGGAATGTTTTGGGGGGAGGGGGGGTGTTTTGTTTATAGGAGTTTCCACTAAGTTGCCCAGGTTGGCTCAGACTCCTGAATAGCTAGATTACAGACATGCACCACCATAGCAACTGAAGTTTTAACTCTGAAAAAAATGAGCTCAGCTGGCATGGGTTGGTCTATGGTCATTCTCACTCACCAGCTGACTGCACATTGATTTCTCTTACCAGGTCATGGGAAGCTGTTGTTTAAAGATGGAAGTTATTATGAAGGTGAATTTGTGGATGGAGAAATCACTGGGGAAGGCTACCAACACTGGGCCTGGTCAGGTTAGCATTGGACATAGGTGGGCTATTGACTGTGTTCCCATAAACTCTGAGAGAGTTTATGGACACACAAAGTGCTGTGTGTAAACAGGAGGCCTCGGGTTCCACCAATGAGAGAGTAACAGCATGCAGGCTGGGGCAAGGCAGTGTGAGGCCTACAACTTGGGTGACCTCTATGCCCATGGAAGGCCTAACCTAGTGAAAGAGTGCCCTGGGGACTCCTAGTTGAGGCTCTGCACTTACCTCTTGAGACAGCTTGGTCTTCTCCTTAACACCTAGTTGGAATAAAGATTTACCATCCCAAAGTTACAGTTTTCTTCTACATTAAAGATATTTTGCCGGGCGGTGGTGGCGTACGCCTTTAATCCCAGCAATTGGGAGGCAGAGGCAGGCGGATCTGTGTGAGTTCAAGGCCAGCCTGGGCTACCAAGTGAGTTCCAGGAAAGGCGCAAAGCTACACAGAGAAACCCTGTCTCGAAAAACCAAAAAAAAACAAAAAGAAAAAAAAAAGAAAAGATATTTTAGGCCAGATGTGGTGACAAATGCCTTTAATCCCAGCACTCAAACAAATAAAAGACATTTCAGTCATGCTGTATCCTCGGATGGGCAAACTGCTCCATGACATCTATGCCAGTGGCCAGGGGTGTTTCCTAGAGTTTTAGGCCTCACAGTAAGCAGGTTGTTGGTGCTCAGGGGAACTTTTCTCTTGGGCTCAGCATTCAGTTGTTTTTAAAGAGCAGGGAAAAAAAGGCTCATCCTTCACTGTTCTCCATCAATGCCACAGAGAGGGTTTCCTAGAATGGTCTGCCATCTCAGCCAGGATAGGAAATGCTAGTCCATTGCAGTCCACACCAAACAGTAAGATAAAGAGACAGACACCAGCCAGGTGTGGTAGCATACACTTTTAATCTCAGCACTCAAAAGGCAAAGGCAGATGTCTGTGGGTTTGAGGCCAGCCTGTTCTACATGTAGAGGCAGAGACAGAGACCTCCATTTGAAAATGGCACCTCAGGCCAAGTAGTGGTGGTACACACCTTTAATCCCAACATTTAGGAGACAGAAGCAAATGGATCTCTGAGTTTGAGGCCAGCCTAGTTTACAGATTGAGTTCCATGACAGCCAGGGCTACACAGAGAAACTCTGTCTCAAAAAACTAAAAAAAAAAAAAAAGAAAGAAAGAAAAGAGAAGAAGGAGGAGGAAAGAAAAGAAAATGGCATCTCCACTGTCGCTGGTTAGGGCATAGCAGAGAAATAGAAATAGAAAACAACCTGATTCTTGCCTCTTATCTACACCAGGAAACACCTACTCTGGACAGTTTGTTTTAGGAGAGCCTCAAGGACATGGCATCATGAAGTACAAAGCTGGAGGCCACTATGAAGGGGAGCTCTTCCACGGCCTGAGGGAAGGTCTGGTGCCCAGGGGCTTGGGGGCCGTGCACTCAGATGGCAGAGCCACTAACATAGCTGTCTGAGTTTAGAAAAGACAGGGATTGGCACCCCCTTTTCTGCTCACGGGGCAGTTCAGCCCATCAGAGCCTGTACAGGGAGCAGCTCCTTACCATGTCCTGGGACATGTCATACCTGAGCTATACCATCCACCACTTACAATTACTTAATGATAACCATGGGTCCTCTACCTTGTCCTAAGGCGGGTCTTCCAGTTTCAGAGTGGTCGTTCCTGCTGCTACAGCCATGGTTTAACCAGATCCACTCTCCCAAGGTCCCAGTGACCCTGGAACTCTCAGGTCCCCCTAGAGCCTGAGTCAGTCACTTCCTGTATGGTCTGCAAGCCAAAGAGGATAAGAGGCAGATTGAAGGGGTACCTGTCCCTTCGGGCACTGTGGAAAGTGCCCAACCTTGCCTGTAAACCAAACCCTGTGAATGAACCTAGCAGGTTCTAGTGTGTATGAATGTAGAGGGAACTTCCTTTTCTTTCTCCAGGTTTGCTTGAATTAGGGAACAGAAATACCTTTGAGTTTCTGAATTGTCCAGAACCTGAGAGTATTGACAGTTCAACAAGGCCACACCTTCATTCACAATTCCTTGCCCTTTTGGGTTGACAAGCCTTGCAGGGGAACTCAGGCAGAGCACTTCTTTGCTCACCATATACAGTGTTAATTTCAAGACATAAGAACAAACAAGTGGACTCTTAATCATAAATCTAAGCTGTCCACCAAAAAACAGGTGGTTTTGGAGGACCTGTGGAGCCCCATTCAGAAGCTGTAACAGCTAATCTGGATCATTTTTATCAGCCCTGCTGACATGGGCAGTGGCATTATCTGTCCCTAAATGCATCTACCACTCTTGTTTGAGCAGGCTTAGTCAGCAGGCCTAGAAGGCAGCCTGGCCTCTAGAGAGGGCCTTGGTACTCAGCCTTCTAAACCCATCTTCCTGCCAGAATTGGGTGCAGGCATGTTCCTCCAGGAGGCTAGGGGAGAAAAGGGTCATCACCAGCAGGAGGTGTGGAGTGAAGTTGGTATATTTTGGTTCCTTCACTAGGACAGGGGTTTCTGGAGGACCAGGATGGGCAGGTGTACCAGGGTTCCTTCCATGACAACAAGAGACATGGCCGTGGGCAGATGATCTTTAAGTGAGTATAACTAATAGAATGCTGATGGCGATAGGGGTCTGGGTAGGTAGAGTCTGTATGTAGAAGTGCTAACTAGTAGCCAGGCCTTAAATATATTCTGAGCCTTTGCTGTTTCTGTATGTGTCTGTGTCTGTCTGTCTCTGCCTCCTCCCACACTTGTTGAACCCAGGGCCTAGCACCTTTGTGTCAGGCTGGTACAGGGTGGACCTAGGTTTGGGCAAGGACAATGGCCAGCAGTGCCATTATCTTTGAGGCAGAGGGTTGGAGACGTCAAGCCTGTGTTCAGGCTCCTGGGTGGATTGTTACCCCACACCTGCTCTTGAGACAGGCAGTCACCTCTCCCATTTCTTTTTCTCTGTCATTTCCTGTTTGAGTAGCAGAAGCCAAACACGTCCTGCACAGGGCCCAGCATGTTCTGGAAAGTGGGTCCTGCCATGGGGGAGATGGGGTACATGCAGACATGTCCCCGCCTGTCACCAGCCCTCCTGAGCCAGCCCTGGCAAGGCAGGAGCTCACAGACCATCTGTTCGGGGCCTATTTCTGCCTTGGCCCGGTGTGCTTGCTGTGCCTGGTCAGAGGAGTAGGTCTGAGTCACTGCAACCACCTGGCTCCTGGCTGAGGGTCCTGTACTGTGCTAACCCTCAGGAATGGTGACAAGTATGAAGGCGACTGGGTTCGAGACCAGCGTCAGGGACATGGGGTGCTGTGCTGTGCCGATGGCTCCACATATGAGGTACTGCACTTACTGCCATGGGGGAGGTGGGAGGCCATGGAAGGACTGCGAGCCTTGGTAGTGTTTGCCCATACCTCATCTGGCAATGCCTTGGAGGTGATGGACTCACAGTCAACTCATCCTCACATCCCCACACCCACCCTGGAGGCTGACTTTCCTTCTGCTTACTAAGTCCTCCTGTGGAATGAACTCTGTGCTGTAAGTCAGGCTGACAAGGAAAACTGAGGTCAGCCCACATGCTTGCTCTTGTCCACATGGGAGGTAGGAGATACTGTGAGTTTTGTGGGCAGAAGACAAGACTATACCAGCGCTATTACTGAGAAATGTGAAGTTTTTGGCCAGGAAAACTGGCATGCTACCAGGAGGGGCACAAGAAGAAACATGGATTACAGTGCAGGGAGGTCCAGAGACAGCGCTGGGCTGGTTCTACCATCCCTGAGCTGACTGCACGCTAATGCCTAGCAGGAAGCAGGAGCTTAAGGGCCCTGAATCAGGCTTCTTGGCTACTCCAGTTGTCCCAGGTGAGGCCCTGGCAGGATGCAAGGCTGAAAGCCCACGTGCTGCCCCCTGCTGTGATGGTGGCACAAGTCCTGCTGGGGTTTCCAACAGGAAGGACAGACGGACAGACGAGTTTAGGCGCCAGACTCATCAGAACTGCCTCAGCTGCGTGACTTCTTGTTGCATCATAGTAACCAGGATGGTGTGATTCATATTTTTTTCCAGATTTCTCAAATGGCAGTTAGGGTAACAACTGAAAGGAACAGGCCCCTGAAAGTAGGAAGAGCCCAGCCCAGTTCACGCAGAACTGGGAAAAGTAGCCACAGGTCTACTGGGGGACCTCTGTAGGAGATTGCCCAGATGCAGGACACTCAGAGTGGTCCCTGCTGACTCCTATAGGCCTTTGGCCCTAGGGAACAAAAACCGACCACCACAGAGCCTGCAGCTCCCTCTGCTGACTCCTGGCATTGTGCCCACTAGCCAGGGAGAAATGTTCAGGGCCTGGCTCCCTGATGGAAATGGAGTGGTGCAGGGCAACTCCTACAGAGCTGTGGGGCCACAGAAAACCCAGCGTGGATGCCCGTACCTGTTTATAGAACAGCAGAGTTCTGCTTGGGTGGATCTCAGCCCATGCCTTAGTAGTGATATTGCTGTGATAAAACACCGTGAGCAAAAGCAGCTTGGGAAGGGAAGGGTTTGTTTCCTAGACTTCCTGGCTATGGTCCATCACTGAAGGAAGTCAGAGCAGGAACCTGGAGGCAGGAACTGAAGCAATGGCCATAAAGGAACGCTACTGACTGGCTTGCTCCCCAAGAGCTTGCTCAGCTTTCTTATAGTACCCAGGACCAGCAGCCCAGGGGTGGTACTGCTCGCAGTGAGCTGGACCCTCCCATATCAATCATTAACCAAGAAAGTATCCTACAGACCTGTCTTCAGGTTAATCCTATGGAGGCATTTTCTCAATTAAGATTCCTTCTTAGTTGATTCTATCTTGTGTCAAGTTGACATAAAAACTAGCCAGCCGGACTGGTCTGGTCAGGGCTGTTGGAGTCTGTGTGGACACTGCTGCCACCCTGCTGGCCTTGAAGCTGCCTCTGATCTGTCCCTGAGACAGTGCATGTCGTTGTATATGCTATTGTGACCAGTCACCAGTCTGCCCTTCCCCACTTAAGGAGTCATCCTCAAAGGACCTGTCTTACAGTATGTCCAAAGCAGGATCAAATCAGGTGTGCAATGGGAGAGTACAAGATAATGAGGACACAAAGTCACTTCTTTTGTGCTTGTCCTGCACCCCAACAGAGTCCACCATGACCATGGCCACATTTATACGGTGTCTTGTTTCTAGTGAGCAAGGCCAGGGCTATCAGATCATTTCCTACCTGCTGGACACTGTTCCAGACCCTCTACTGTGGATTCACATAAACTGTCCCCACATCTGTGTGAAGGGACTGTTTGACACATTTTATAAACAGGGAAAATGGGACCTAGACTTGGTTTCCCAATCAGTATGCCTGGCCCTTCCTTCTCTGGGATTTGAGAAAGGCCTTACTCCACTAGGTCCCTCCAGAACCCATCCCACTGCTCAGAGACAATGGATGAGCTGTCACCGACAGCGCAGAAAGATTCCTTCACACCATCACCTGGGCAGGAGTGAGGGGAGGCTTCGAGCTCCCTCAGTCCTGTTCCCAGAGACATTTCTATCCCATAAGTACTCAGACCTCCAGTAGGGCTTCCCTGCTAGCCACTGACTATCAGTGGCTAGGATCTGTGGGGTCCTGCCCAGGCCTTCCCCTTCTGAACCCTGAAATCAGGCCAGGCGGTGGTGGCACGCACCTTTAATCTCAGCACTCGGGAGGCAGAGCCAGGTGGATCTCTGAGTTCGAGGCCAGCCTGGTCTACAGAGTGAGTTCCAGGACAGGCACCAAAACTACACAGAGAAACCCTGTCTCGAAAAAACTAAAAATAAGGAAAAAAAATATTAGAGGTATCTGAACCCTGAAATCTGTGGCACAGCCAAGAAGAGACAGAACCCTGGATGCCTCACTTTCACCGCCAACAGCCTGTAGTATGTCCACCAGGGGGCAGCCCAGATCTGCTCACCGGCAGCAGGCCCAGCCTTGGGTCCTTGTTCCAAGTTTAGATGGAAATGCCCTGGGCCCTAAGGCAAGCAGCAGAGAGGCCTAAATGCCTGAACAGTGAGCACAAGCCTTGAGACTGCCACACAGGGTAAAACTGTTCAAATTACTGTTGTTTTTCCTGGGCCCAGACTTGAACTCCACAAAACTCTTCATAAAGGCTTCCTCCCTCAGCTTAATCCTGACCCCTCCCCCCACCCCCACACCCTGTGGCTGGTCAACAGGAGACCTGAGAAGTGTCCAGGGAAAGGGTCATAGAGGCCTCTGGCTTGGACACACAGGCTGCACCAAAAGCAACAGCATGGGCAAAAGCAGCCACAACCAAGTCCTCAGAGTGACCAGAGGATCTGCATCTGGTCGTGGAAGCCCTAAATTCCATATCCCCCACCCCAGCCACTCTTTTTTATAGTGGCCTTGGTAAGGCTAAAGAAAAGTACCTTCTTCAAGGATCTTGTGGACACTGAACAGAAAAGGGTACCCAAGGCCAAGAGGAAAGGTTAACACTATCCAATGCCATCTGGAAAGCAGAGTTCAGATACCATGGACAACGAACTGCCAGCCCAAGCCTGCCTGTCTGAGACAACTTCACTGACCTGGCTTGTGAGACAGCAAGAGGGCTCACATGCTGCCCAAGTGAGAAAAGGTAATTACCCAGTCTGTCACTTAGCCTCCTTAGCCAAGAGAGGCAGAGGGTTTCATGAGGCTCTCAAGCTCGGCTGATGACCATCTCTGCGCTGGGCTCGCCCACACAAGGGGCCACCACCTGCATGGAGTGGAGGGCAGACATCAACCAAGAAAGGCCGTGAAGTGGGAGGGATCGTGAGACTTGCTTCCCACAGGCACCACTGTTCTTTATGTTGTCATCAGTCAAACAGGTAGGGTTCTCTTAAACACACAAACAGGAAGTGTACCATTCTTGTCCGCTTGTGAGTGTTCAGTTCACAAATTCATCTATATAATCAGACTCTGCTCCATTAAACCCAAACTCCCTGTCCCCTGGAGCCCTTGGCCCCCACCTTTCTTCTGTCTCAGTCTGGCTCCTCAGGGGACCTCTTGAGTGGATTATCCTTTAGTGACTGGCATTTCTCACCAAGTGTCATAGCCTCAGGTCCATTCTCACTGAAGCATGTGCAGGAGCCTCCTTTTGAAGGCTGAGTGGCCCATGTGCATACATGTTCCATTTCCCTTGCTCATTCATTCCGGTGGACACTTGGGCTGCCTCCCTCTCTGGGCCACTAGAAACAGTGCTCTGAGCATTTGTGTGCAGGCCTGTGAGTATGGAGACCCAGCAGTGGAATAGTTGCATTATGTGGCAATTTACATTTTTAATTTTTTATGGAGCTGCCAAATTTTTTCACGGTGGTTGTACTACTTGAAGTTCCCAACAGGGGAACTAATAGAGGTTTCCATTTCTGCATTTCCTAGTGTCCATCAGGGTCCCCTCAGCCACCTATAATATTAGCCAGTATTTCCATCTTGTAGGAAAGAAATCCAGACCCTGAGCAGATGTTCTAGGAGAAATCGACTGTTTCTAAAGGCAAGCTTGGGTCTAGAGACTGTCAGACAGCTGGCATAGCAGTCATGGTATGTGATTCCATCCACGTCTTTGGTGGGAGCCTCTCCCATAGCATGAACATGTCTGTCACCTAAAGCTCTGGCTTCCTGAAAATCAACAGTTCCCATATCAGTTTTCCCAGGGGGCAACCTGCTGTCTGGCACACCTGTGCACACATGAAGCAGGTGGCCAGCCTTGTGGGTGTCTTCAGCTGTTGCAGTTCCCAGCTCCCCTCTCCTGGCGTGTCTGCAGAGTCCCAGAGGCCTGCATGTCACCAGGCAGATGAAGACAAGGCCCTGTGGCTACCTCCCATATCACTTGCCTGCCTTCCTTTGGCCAAGAAGGTGCAGGCCAGGACGGAAAGACCATTCAGTCAGGCATGTCTCCACCACAGAAGATCCTGAGAATGTGGAACAGTGGAGCACTCATGTCCAGTGGTAGCTCTTCAGGAGTTAGCTGCTGCCCACAATGGCCTCGTCCTGGAACCATCACAGCAACAGTTAGTGCTGTACCAGTGCCAGCGTGTCCCTGTCCCTACAAAGTGTTACCATCCCACGTGCTGAAATCCTAGGAAGACAGTCCAGACCAGTCAAATCCAACATCCTGCAGGCCTACTGTTACTGGAATGCAAGTGAAGCCACCTGCCATCCCTGCAAGCTAGAAACCAAGCTCCATAACAGTCACAACCCCAGGAGGAGAGCCTAGCCAACCCTTCACAGGTGACATCACCCAAGGGAACCCGAAGTCCCAAGGCCTAGCAACAGTCAGTGCTAATTGCCCCCTCCATGCCATAATATCATGGAGACCAACTCAAAAAATGTCTGGAGCTTGTTGTTCACCCCAGGAAGGACCAAGATGTGCAAGAGCAAAGAGGTAAACTTTTGCCCAGGATGGACTTGCACCCAAGTCCACATCTATGTAGGGTGTGGCCACTATAGAGCCACTTCTAATAAAAGTATAGGAAAAAAACAGCATGGGTTAACTGGAAAATGTTTCCCACAATGAGAGGGGCCAAGGGTTTGTTTCCTACAGTTTATTAAACTTAGTGTGCTCACTGTCATAAATGTGGTCTGCAGCTGTGGCAGAAAGGGGCAGGAATAAGATTGAGCGCCACTCTTTGGGGTCACTGTACAGTCACAGCAGACTGCTGTACTCTTATCCTGGGTATCCTTTTCCTGATACTGGCTCCTTTTGCTCTGTTTGCTTGGTTTGGGGTGCAAATCTGAGCCCTCAATGACTTTTGTGGCTGACTGTGTCATCATCACCCTCTTCTGTCCCATCGTATGTGTCTGTCCTTCCCTGCTTGTCAGGCAGCAGCCGGGCAGAGAGGAGAGCAGGGTCTCTAATGCCCTGGAGCTTTGTGGTGGGAGTGTGGTGCCCTGCTCCGCCTCCCAGTGCTGAGACTCGCAGACTGATTCCACACTAAGTATGCCCAGGTAAGAGCTGGCAGTTCCAGGGCTCTTGGCTCTCAAGTCCAGACCAGTACCTGTCCAGCTGCCTCCTTGGGCTGCTTTACAGGGACACCATAAAAGGGTGCTGTTATCTACAGGAGCCTGCCCGACACTCTAGGAGTTTTAATAACATGTATCTATTCATGATCTGGATGCAAATGTCCAATATAAAATTTATACTATTCAGGCAAGTCCATAGGTTAGTGTCTTTAGTCTCTTGCACAGATCTGTAGCATCCAAGTGCTGCTGACCTGAAGCCGGGAACACCAAGCTCCAGCTCTTACCATAGGCTCTGATTCTAGCATGCAACCCACTGGCCACCCACCTCAGGAACTCTGGCAAATGTTATGGATGGTGAGCACTAAGCTGGAGATGCCAGGGAGCAGCTAGATGAAAGGCTTCTGTGGCAGACTAGTGCCACCCACAGCTCTTTACCCACCACTGCCCAGGTTATTGGCCTTGCCGGCAGGCACCTCCACATCACTGTATTTATCACTGCCGGTGCCTGGGCACTCCTTTCTGGCCACATCCCTCCATGGCAACCACCCTATGAACAGGCACCTGGCCACATGCCCTGACCTGCCTTTTTTCTGAAAGCCCACACTGGTACTTTCCAGAAAGCCCAAGTGGGCAGTGAGCAAAGAGAAGAAAAACAGCTGTTCTATAGCTCAGAGCCTAGGACACATTGGAGAGTCTATCAGCCAGAGCCAAGGTGGCCCCTCCTGTAGTATCCACTCAGAACGTTTATCACCAGCCATCTGTGTGTTATTGTCACCCTTGAGAGAATTGGAACAGGAAGGAAAAAGATTGGATACAGTAAGGACAGCAGTCACAGGAGGGGGTGGGAAAGCCGCTAGAGAGAAGCCAGGAAACTAAAGACTGGCCCGCTTGATGGGACACCTGAATTCTCATGGTAGAGAAAGCAGGACCAAGGGAAGGTCCTGTGCCATGGGTCACCTCCCAGGCTTCCAAGCAGGGCTCCCAAGGCTCAATGTATTCAGTGCAGCCTGTGATCTCTGGAGCCAACCTGATGTCTGCCCTCCTAACCCTGCTGCATCCACATCTGCAGTGACAAGAAAGGATTGTCACAGTCAGTGCAGGTGGCAACCTGCCCAAAGCAAAGTGGACACTCTTCATAGCATAAGACTGTGGGATCAAGTGAAATGGTGGGGTGAATGATGTCTGCTGGGCTGGGACCCTGTCAACTGAGCCCCCACCACCAGCCGCTCCAGGAATGCACTGCTCTGTATTGGGATTATGGTGCTTCCTGTGCTGTTTCCGAGTTTGGGATTTCAGGACTGGAGGAATGGAGCCACCCAGGCACCTTGGAGCCTAGCTTAGGGATAACTTGGCAACTCTGAGGATGAAGACCCACCCACATCCCAGAGGGTGAGCAGCCAGGCCCTGCTCACATCTTCCACAGCTAGCTGCTGACCTCTCCTGAACTGAGAGGGCCTAGAGCTGCCTGTTGTTTGTGAATGAGGCCTAGAGGCATGAGATTTTCAGGGCCAGCAGCTCCCCATCTTGTAGCCATGCTCTCAACGGTCCACACAAAAGCTTTCTCTCAGGTTCTCAGGACTCTGACCCTACTAGGGCTTCACCTTCTCACCACAGCCTCTCAGTACCTCTAGGCCTGAGTGAACACTACCACCCACTTTCCTATTCTGTCTGCATTCTCAGACACTGGCCAGTGTTCCCCTCCCATCAGTGACAATGTGGCCCAGTGACTGGGGAGCCCAGGCTGCATGCAGAGGGGGTCCAGGACACAGTAGGGCAGCTGGTGCCCAACTAACTTCAGCAGAAGAATGACTTAAACCAAGCCTGTTTTTGGTTGATTTTCCCCAATACAAGTAATTCATAATCAAATAAAACACCATTCTGATTTAAAATTTTTCTATAGAAGTAATCCTCCTGCTGTTTCACACAATTGCTTGGGAATCCAGGTGTACTATAGAGGAGGCAAAATGGGGCTTGGAGAGTGGTGCCCCACCCCCACTCCAAGGTGTGTGGGTGCTCAAGTTGTGTGTTTTAATTGCCTTTTCATTTAAAAGCTCTGGGCATCAGAAAAACCCACCTTGGTCCTGGCCCCATTGTAGTCACAGGTTCAGGTCTCCTCATGATCAACTAAGTGCCACATCTTTGTATTAGGAGGCCTTTGTGCTAAAAGAGTGCCTGTTCAGTGGTGTTTGTTTGCGTGGTGTGTGCTGTGCCTTTGTTCACCTCTTTCCTGGCGTCATTAAAATTCAAGGGGAGAACACTTAGCAAAGCAAATTGGATCCCTCCTAACAGAATGCAGTGCCTCACCACCAAAGGAAAGGCTGCATTAACCTCACAGCCTTGGACGTTCCTATAATAAAGGGACCTAGGACTCCTTGGAGCCACCCTCTAAGGCCACCTTGTTCTTTGTGCAGGGACAGTGGCACAGTGATGTCTTCAGTGGGCTTGGCAGATTGGCCCACTGCTCAGGTGTCACTTACTGTGGGATGTTTATCAATGGTCACCCAGCAGGTAAGTGTTCCCAGACTTCCCATGTCCTTGTGAGGTGTGCTGGGGATTGTGTTTGAGCCTGGCCTCGTTGTATCTCTGGTGACCCTGGGCAGCCCCATGGGAGGTGTCGGACCAAGCTGGGATGGAGTGGAACATAAAATCCAACCCTTTTCAGGAAAAGCACATTCTAGTTGATTTCAAAGGGGCTTGTGCCTATGCAGAGCCAAGCAGGGCTTCCCACCTATGGGCTCTCACAGCTGCAGCCCCACCACAGGCTCCCCAGCCATAGTGATACCTCCTATACATGGGGCCTCTCAGCCACAGAATTTGGGAGTTACCTGGTCAAACTATGCTGACTTGACACCCCTACCCCTGCCGCCTCTATCAGGCTCTCTTGAGATCTCTACACTCTGACAAGACTGCAGAGCGACCCATGTCTACCTTGGGTTGGTACCTTCCTGGCCATCCTTTGCTCCCATGTTGTTCCTAGTGGCCTATCCTGAGACTTAGGAAAGAGATGCCGTCTCAGGGGTAGGCCTAGCTAAAAACATGAGTCCCTTGATCTAAACTTTCGGCCAACCTGCCTATGCCTAACAGATACTGGGGGCCCCGGCCCCAGCAGCCTCATCTTGGTAGACCTATAACAGGGTGAGAAAGAACTGGAGCCCTTGGTTGAGGCTGTCACAAACACTAAAGCTGTGTTCTACCCTCAGCACAGGCTAAGAAAATTGTGGTTCTGGGCCCAGAGGTATTGGAAGTGTCCCAAGGCTCTCCCTTCACATTGAAGGTCCAGCTACAGCAAGATGACGGGGACATTGCTAAGAGTAAGTGTCTTCAGGGTGGCCATCCTGCTCTGCCAGAAGACGTGGGCTCTACAGGCTCTTAAGTGGAGCAGACCTGGGTAAGGTGGTGGGGTTGCTCCTGAGATAATATTACAGAAGTCCCTGCAGCCTGGTTTCAGCAGAAGGTTCGGGAGGCCTGTAAGACAGCCAGGAAGAGGTAGTCTTGTGTGTGTGTACAAGTGTATGTGTGCCTTGAGAGGCATGTGCATTTGCACACATGAACATGTGTTTTGGCACATGCAGACCCTCACTCACTGACTAGTGTGCATTGTATAGAGCATAGAAGATAAAAAATATATGGTCAGCTTGGCTCAGCAGGTCAGCATGGACCATAACTCAGCTAGGCTAAAGGCAGCCTCTCATTTCCTCTCTGGGGTAATCAGATTTCTTTTTTAGGTAACTGAACCTAAAAGTGGCCCAAGACAAGGTATGGCCCACTGACTTCCTAAAGCCCTGTCTACCATGTTAATTCCCAATATTTATTAATTCACCTAAGTTGAGGGCTTCAGTGAAAAAGTCATTTTGTGTGTGTGTGTGTGTGTGTGTGTGTGTGTGTGTGTGTGTACTGGAGAGATGGCTCAGCAATTAAGAGTGCAGACTGCTTCTGCAAAGAACCCAAGTTCAATTCCTAGTACCCATATTTGGTGACTCAGAACCACTGGACATAGCTCGGGGCTGATAACTCAGGAGTTCTGATACCTCTGGCCTCTATGAGCACTTGTACTCATGTGCACACACACAATATACACATAATTAAGAATAAAGTTTTTAATGTGTATATTAATTTGGCTTAGCAACTTTATTAAGGTATCATTTACATACCATTAATTTCAGTATTAAATTATTCCATGATCTCTTTCTTAAAAAATGATATGTGTATGTGTGTGTGTTGTGTGTCTCTGTGTGGGTATGCGCACATGCATGCGAGTACCCACAGAGGCCAGAAGAGGATATCAGATCCCTTGAAACTGACCAGGCTGGCCTCAAACTCAATATGTAGCTGAGGCAGGCCTTGAACTGATCTTTCTGTTGCCTTCCAAGAGCTAGGATTACAGGCATGTGCTATCATGTCCAGATAGATTCCATGATCTCTTTTAAATCTACAGATACGGGCAGCCACCATCACATCACAGTGCCCTTTCAGAACAGTTCAGGCCTCTAGAAAAACCCTTTGATCCTATTTCTAGTCTTGTGCCCACTCCAGTCCCTCACTCATTTCCTGTCTCTATGGATTTGGCTCTTGAAATTTTCATGCAAGCAGAGTCATATCATATGTGGTCTTTTGCTTTGCTTCCCATTTGCATGGTGTTTGGGGATGCCTCTGCATTGCAGTGTTTATTGGCCTCATCTTCCATACTGTTCAGCAGCATCCTGTTGCCCAGACAGGCCACACCTGATTGCCTTCAGACTAATGTTAGGGACAGTGTTGTTGTGAATACTGCACAAGGTTTTGTCAGCACAGATTTTATCTGTGTACACCTGCAAGCAGCATTGCAGCATCATATGGTCAATGTATTTAAATTTTGGGTTTGGTTTTTTGTTTTTTGTTTTTCCCAAGACGGGGTTTCTCTGTGTAGCTCTAGCTGTCCTGGAACTCACTCTGTAGACCAGGCTGGCCTTGAACTTGAACTCAGAGATCTACCTGCCTCTGCCTCTGAGATTAAAGGCATGCACCACCACTGCCCAGGAGAGACTATTTTCTTATAAAAGTTTTATGTTATTTTAGTGTTCATATTTTAGGTTAGTGTTCCATTTTGAGCTAACTTTTGTGAATAAGACAAGTGTCTGATCCATCCGCTAGCCATGACTGTTGGGAAGACTATCCTTTCTCCATTGAACTAGGCTTCTGTGTGGACTCTCAGTTCTGCCTACTGACCTGTGTGACCACTTTTATCAGGTAAATCTCACTTGTGCCATACCATCCATCTTAATCTTAGCCTTCAGCATGCCTTGAAACTGGGGCACCCTCCAGCCTTGCTCTTTTTTAAAACTGTGTGGCTCTTTGGGTCCTTTACATTTCCATATAAATTTAGAATTAGCTTGTCAATTCCTCTAACAACAAAAACCTGCTGGGATTGGAATGGGGTCACAGTGAGCCATCTCTTAGCACTGAGCCTATAGTTCATAGACAGAAAACTGTGTTTAATTAACACTTTGATTTCTCTCAACAATGTGCATTTTCCATGTATAAGTCTTACAGTATTTTTTTAAAAACCTATTAATAAATGACTTTTCCATGAGATATTTGATTATAATTGCTTTATTAGTATGATTAATAATTACTGCTGATTTTGTTATATCTTTTGGGGGTGTTTTTTTTGGGGGGGTGGAAGTTGAGCAGGGTCCCCTGTAGCCCAGGCTGTCCTCAAACTCCATATATAGTTGAACATGATCTTGAACTCCTTTCTCTGTGGTCTGGTACTGCAGTTACAGTTGTACACCACCACACCAGGTTATGAGATGCTGGGCGAAGAAGTTTACATTTTTATCTCCTTTTCTTTCTTTTTTTTCTTCTAATTTTCAAGACAGGTATTCTCTGTGTAGCCCTGGCCATTCTGGAACTTACTTTGTAGACCAGGCCTCGAACTCAAAGAGATGCACCTGCCTCTGCCTCCCGAGTGCTGGGATTTAATAAAGGTGTGCACCACCACTGTCTGGCCCCAATAGTTATTAATATGGGAGATGCAGATTCACCCCCTGGTGACGGTGCCCCCCAGTTTGTCCCAGCAGTTTCCCTCATCAGAGTGGGCAGCAAGCAAGCACCTCTACCTGCTGAGCCACCTTGCCAGCCCCTGCCTCATTAGTTACAATTCTCACTAACTCTCTTCTGGTTTTCATGCCTTCCTATAGATGTCTCCATCCAGTGTCATCTTCCCAGGGCCTTACCACTTCCTGTAATGGAAGCTGACGGTTGATATCTGGAAGCACCTTGATATGCTGCCGCTTTGAGGGGTGCCTTGAGGTGTCCTCTCCAGCTGTAGGATTCTGGTTCTTCCTCCGTTACAGAACTGCTGCTCCATCGTCTCCACTAGCATTGAGCTTCTTGCACCATGGACTTCCAGGTTCATCACATTAGGAAAATTTCAGCCATTATTTCTGCAGCAGTTTCTTTCTCGCTTGATTCTTTTTCCCATGTGTGATATTGCCAGAAATTGTCCCACGGTTTGCAGAGTCCCTCCCTCCTTCTCATTCCCCGCCCTCATGTTTGATTTTGGGGGAGAGGGCAGGGAGGGATGACTTCTCTAGCTATATTTTTAGGCTCACAAATCTTTCCTTCTGCATCAGCTAATTTGTTGTGGATCACATCCAGTGTACTTTTTATCTCACTCATTGTTTACAGAATCTCTCCATGTATTCGTAGCTGGCTTGGAACTCAGTATGTACATTAGGTGGCCTTGACTTTGCAGCAGCTCCTCCTGCCTCTACCTCTGAGCGCTCGGATTACAGACAGGAGCCATCATGCCCGACAGCTTTGTAGTCTTTGTCTCTTGTTCTTTTCTTACCGCCTGTATCTCTACCTCACTGACGAGCATAAGAACAGTTACAGTACTTGGTTCCCCCACTCTCATTTTTGAGACAGGGTCTCAAACTCACTCTGTAATGGAGGATGGCCCTGAGATCTTACTACCTCCACTGTTCTAAGTGGTGGGATTACAGTCTGGATTGTAATAAATTTGTCCCTGGTTGTTAGTTCTAGCACCTGGGTCATTTGCAACTAATTTATTTTTTCTCCTCATTACACACTATACTTTCCTGCATTCTTTGCATACCTAGTAATCTTTGAGTGAATGCCAGGCATTATAAATTTTACTTTGTTGGATGCCAAATATTTTTGTATTCCTATAAATATTCTTGAGCTTTTGTTCTGAAGCAGAGTTAAGTTATATGGAAAAGGCTTAATCCTTTTGGCCTTGTTTTCATGATTTTCCAACAGGTCTGATAGAGAAAGCACCATCTAGTAGCAGCATGTTCCTCAGTATGGAAGCAAGGCCCTATGAGCACTTACCTAACCAGTCTCCTGTGACTTCTGAGTCTTTCCACCTAGGCTAGTAAGAACAGGCGCTCCCCAGCCTTGTGAGCCTCAGGCCCCTTAGTTGTCTTTAGTTCTTTTGTAGCCTCATGGAGTCTTGTTGCTTGTGTGCCCAAAGCTGTGTTCTGATGTCCCTGAATCCTGCATAACTCTGGAGGCTCTCCTCCCTCCCTCCCCAGATTTCTAGCTCTTTTTCTTCAGCTGAGAACATTTGCTGGGAAGCACCACGGGTCTGAGCTGGGCCTCTCCACTGCCACCTCAAGTCACAGCCCACTGAAGTCTGCCACTTTGTCTAAGTTTTTCCTTAGTTTGTAGAACTTGGCCACTTCCTAAGTCCCCTGTAAGGCTGGAGACTCACCTCAGAGCTCTGCGTCAGGTCTGGGAGCTCAAGACTGTTACTCTATACTCCATCACACCCCTGCCCATCACTCACACAGCCATCTTGCCGTACCCACAACACTCAAGGTGTTCCTCATATATTAGCCAATGCTTCTCTTCACTGGGTCCTCCAGATGTGGCCATGTGCCTGGCTTCATTACCTCTGCTTGCCCCAGAAGGGCCCAGTGGATCTGTGCTCTGTGGCTCAGAGAAGACTGTTGTCTACTCCTCAAGCCCTGTGCTCTAGAGCACCAGGCCTGTCGGCATGTCCACTCAGAAAATGCTTCCTAAGCATCCATTGTGTACCTGGCCCTGTATCAGTGACTGGGGAGGTGGGTGACTGAGGCTGAGCCTATAACCCATGGTCAAGCTAGTAGATGAACAGAACGCAACTGGCCAGCCTAGGGCAAGTCATATCGTGTTGACCCACAAGATGGTTAGGAGGAGGCCCTCCCAGAGTATAAAGTCCATTGGCCAGAACAAGATGGCCTTCAGGGAGACGAGGTCCAGAGCTGAAGGGTCAGTGTCCAGGATTCAAGGTGAGGGAACAGAGGTACAGAGTAAAAGAGGAAGCCCAGAAGTGTTAAGGCCAGCAGGAGACTTCTGCCAGGCATTCATCCAAGGAAGTCAAATCAGGGACCTTCCAAGTGACTGGCTAAAGGTGAATGTAGTCATAATCAGTTATAAATGAGGCAGCACAGATGCCCTTCACCTTAAGCCCAACTCTAGGGTGGGGCCAGATCCAACCACCCCTGGCCGGGATCTTTGATTCCTCACACGGTATAAAGGATATGTTTCTTGGTTTCTTCCTTTGGAAGGTGAGAGTGGCCGGATCCTGAAGATCTCAGCTGGAGTCAGATATGTGCAACTCCCAGAGTACTCTGAGGTCAGCTTTTTCAAGATGGATGAAGATCACATGGAGACACCCATCCAGACACCATTGTAAGGACAATACATCCTCCCTAGGAGCACTCTGAGGAGATTAGACTAGAGAGATGTCCCCATGGTTCCCTTGCCCATCATTCCCCATGTGCTATAACTGGGGCAGGCCTGGATCCAGTGCCAACCGTAGACTTTGACAGGTAGAAATAGAAGCAGGTGAGTCGACAGGGGTTGGAGGACTGGAGGGAGCCACAGGGAGCAGGAGGGGACCCACTGACTGGTTTTTCTTTGGCCTTAGTTGGCCCAGCTTAGCAAGCAACCCTCCAAGTATGACTAAATAGTGCTCCTTGACTAGTCTAAGTCCCAGGGTCAGGGACTTATATGTCCCAGGACATATACAGAGTGTGAGCTGCCTCAGTCCTACCCCCTGCCTGCCCCAGCCCCTGACCCCTACCCTTTTTTCCCCACCCGCTCTCTTGACCCACACTGTGATATTTGTTATCTCTTTCCTAGTGGGTTCCAGTGTATTTCCTATCCTTTGTCCATCCCCATGTCCTGGGGACTGGAGCCTGGGTCTAATGTGGAAAGTGCCAGAGCTGACATACTACTCTCCAAGAGAGACTCAGAGCCAGTGCTGGACTCAGGAGCCTTCCATGGCCAGGGAGATACCCCCAGCATCCTGCCAGGTGAGTGGGCCACATCAGCAGTCCAAGGGTATGCAAGGTAACAGTGCTTAGAACCTGAGTGGGAAGGTGACAAGGCACAGTGTACCTGGGAGAAACATGAAGCTCAGGAGACTGGGCCCAGGCCTGAGCTGGTGTCAGCAGAGAGCAAATATAACCTTCTTTACAGGGCCAGCCGGGAGATGGGGCTTCCTATTCTAGGTGATCATGTGGCCTACATCCTTACTATACAAGCCCAGCAGCTATGTAAGACCAATGGTCCTAGGCTGGCCAAAGCTGAGCAGTACAAATGGCTTGTGGGTCCGCGGGTCCTGTTTGGTCACAAGCTGCCTGGCTTTCCAGGCCATTTCAATGCATATGTGTCTGTTTCACATTTTTTTTTTGTTTTTGTTTTTCGAGACAGGGTTTCTCTGTGTAGCTTTGCGCCTTTCCTGGAACTCACTTGGTAGCCCAGGCTGGCCTCAAACTCACAGAGATCCGCCTGCCTCTGCCTCCCGAGTGCTGGGATTAAAGGCGTGCGCCACCAACGCCCGGCTGTTTCACATTTCACAAAGATGTGGTCCCTACTTCCAGGCCAGGCAGGTGGAACTGCATACTGGAAGAATTCAAAGCCAGATTTACTTTGAGTCTTTTGAGAATTATTCGTGCAACTGAAGTTTAATCACTGCAGTTTGTTATGCCTGGTGATATTAAGTTCTCTTACACTTTGATAAATCATAAATACTGAGCTTGCATCTTTTTTCCTTAGTTTTTGGTTTTGGTTTGGTTTGGTTTGGTTTTTTTTTTTTTTTTTTTTTGAGGCAGGGTCTCTCTCTACATAGCTCTGGCTGTCCTAGGACTCGCTCTGTAGACCATACTGACCTCAGACTCACAGAGATCTGCCTGCCTCTGCTTGAGTGCTGGGATTAAAGGGGTGCGCCGCCATGCCTGGCTCAGCTTGCATCTTACTGTGGCAACAGGGGCAACCTTGGCAGTGTGTGTGCACCAATACAGGCATCTCATTGGAGGTGGGTGAAGTGCCACCAGGATCATACGGCCTCGTGTGCCTTCTTGTGGCTTCCTTGATGTGGGCCTGCATCTTGATTCTTCTGGACTCTTTTTTTTTTCCCCCTGAGACAAGGTTTCTCTGTGTAGCCCTGGATATCCTGGATCTCACTCTGTAGACCAGCCTGGCCTCGAACTCACAGAGATCCACCTGCCTCTGCCTCCCGAGTGCTGGAATTAAAGGCATGTGCCACCACTGCCTGGCTGTCTTCTAACTCTTAACAGGAGTGAGAAGGTTCAGTAAGAGGGTGTCTTCCAGGCAAAAATCATGCACTTGATGTTTAGGGCCCTTTGTGGACTCTCTGACTTGGGATTGACAGCCAGGATCCCCAGCCCCCAGGACTGGGATTCTAGCTCTCTGGCTGCCAGGCACAGAATATAGGCTCTAGGTCAGTGGTTCTCAACCTTCCTAATGCTACAACTCTTTAATAATACAGTTCCTCATGCTGTAGTGAACCCCAACCAAAAATTATTTTTGTTATGACTTCTTAACTGTAATTTTGCTACTGTTATGAATGGTAATATAAATAGCTGATATGCAGTATATCTGATATGTGACTCCTGTGAAAGGGTTGTTCTACCCCCGGGGGTCACAACCCACAGGTTGAGAACCACTGTTCTAGGCGACAAGCAAGGCAAAACAGGGTATTAGAAATCTGTAGCACACCCCAGACCTGAAACCAAGGGCAGATGTGGCATGGAGATGAGAGTCCCATAGCTCTCCACAACTTGTAGATAAGCCTGGATTAGTAAGTGGTGGTTGGTTAGTTGGTTTGTTAGTTGATTTTTGAGACGGGGTCTTGCTATGTAGCTTACACAGCCATCTTCCTCCTGCCTCAGTATTTCTAGTTCTGGGATTATGAATATATGCCACCATTCCTGGCAAAGGCCAGGGTTTGACAGAACATTTCTGGCCATCACAAGTATGCCTCAGACATGTCTATCCCTCCTGCCTATTGCTTCCCTGTGGCTGCCAGTGGGAGCCAGAGTCCTACCTTGACTCACTTTGTCCTTGTAGACCACACAGCCTTAAGTGGGGTCCCTCCCTTTGCAGCTGGTACATAGTTGAGATCACCAGGTGGCTGTCTAGTCAGGTGAATACCCTGAAGTTTCCATTTAGGCATACTCCCCACTCCTGACACAAGTCCCTCAACAGAGCCCTCCTACCCCCTAATCTTTTCTTGCCTTTTGCCTGTCTCAGCCTTTCAGCCCAGAAACCTTCAAGCTGGCATTAGGAAGGGATGACACCTCCCTCCCTGGCTCCTCTTTTCTTCAGATGGTCCAGCTTCTCCATAGGCTGGAGCTCCCTATACTCTGATTCTGTCCCTTCTGCCCACCCTGGTTATACAGCCTATGGCCTCCAACATGTTTCACTCATCCTCTTGCCAGGTCTCCCCTGACTCCAGCTCATGTTCTTTATAGGCTGCCCAACCCGATGGTGGTGCCTCAGCTCTCCTGAGCCTCCTAAGGTTCATCCTGAGTCTTCTGAAGCCCTGTGTGGCCCCATGACCCACCAAGGCCCTCATGGCAGTTACCCATGGCTTGTTCTTTCTGTGGTTGTGTTATTCATACGATAGAAAAGGGACAAAAGGACTGTGGTAAGGCGGTAGTTCAAAGTCTCAGTCGCACAGATCTTTGGGGTGCTGGCCCCGACTCCCCAGAAATCCTTCCAGTAGGTGGCCAGAGGCTCCCAGAGTGTGATATGCCTGTCTTTGCCAGGGCAGTAACATTTCTGACAAGAAGATGGCTGTCCAAACAGCCATCTTGAGACAAGTAACAAAGGCAGAAGGTTCTCCAATGTGAACACAGAGGCTAGGGTGAGGACTCATATTCTTCCCTTATGGGCAAGCTGTAGTCTCCAGAGGATAACCAGACCCTGGATACCCAGGAACGGAAGCCATGCTGCTCTGGCCTGGGGCCAGGACCCCAGGAGCCAGCCTGGTCCACCTCCTGCTCTGTCTGACTCTACCTCAGTCACAGGAGCAATTTCATGCTGCATCGGCAGAATAGTTCTCATATTTCTGCATAAAAATACTCACTGAGTGCCACGCCTTCCACTTTGAGAGACTTTCGGAGCCAAGTACTGCGGTCTCAATGAAAACCAGGCCCCAGATTTCGGAGCTTGCTCTGTGCTTCTGGAAAGCGCCCGCCCTGTCTCCTACAGGCAGCTCCACGGTGTGGCTCAGAGTCTGGTCCTTGTGGTGATATTATCCCAGGACAGCCTGAGAAGAGATCACCAAGGGGGCACAGGACCCCCAGAGGTCCCCAGTACACCCAGTAGTTAACACAGGAGCCAGGCCCAGGTTCCCTCTGGGACCTGTGAGATATGTGTCACCTTGGGGTCTCAGGCACGTAGGAAACCCCAAGGAGCATGGCTCTGCTCTCAGAAGAGCCACAAGGCTTGAACCTGACACTGACCCAGGCAAATGCCCTGCCACTGAGCTGCACCCCTGGCCACTGTCCCTGTTGGGAGCTCCTCGGGCTGGCCAGCACCCGGCCCATCTGTGAGAGCTGGACTGCCATTTCCACTGTTTCTAACTGGATTGAGGTTATTCTATAAAATGAAATCAGCAACCTCCACCTCCTAGAGCTGGCAAGCCACATGCATAACCACCCCACCCACCCCCGCCATGTGCAGGAGGGCTGGGTGAGGGTGGACCCATTTAAATCCAGACTGACCCAAGGTGGCACACCAAGGGTCAGAGAATGGCTTTCTGCCTATTTCTACCTTTCCTTTCTTTTCTTTTTTAAATTTTATGTGCATTGGTATGAAAGTGTCAGATCCCCTGAAACTGGAGTTACAGACAGTTGTGCGCTGCCATGTGGGTGCTGGGAATTGAACTGAGATCCTCTGGAAGAACAGCCAGTGCTCTTACTGCTGAGCCATCCTCTCTCCAGCTCTAGTTCTACCTTTCTTAAAGCTTATTTCATAGAACGGATAAATCTTTGCTCTGTCTGCCCACCTGTCTCAGCAGGTGGGCTGAAGGGCCCAGGAGTGGCCCCTGGGTAGGCAGTTTCAGGCCCTTGGACCCCACTGGGAACTGAACTGTTCACTGAGTAAGAGACACATGAATTCCCATCCTTCTCCGGGAGCCCTTCAGCCCCCCAGTGTTCCAGGACCAAGCACTGGAACATGCTCCTTAGAACTGCTTCCAGCTGAAGTAACTCTTCTGCTGCCATTCCATGCATGAGAAACCCAGATCCCTGGCAGGGAAAGGCAGAGGCCCAAGCCAAGAGGACTAGGAACCCAGGAGAGGCGATTCTTCTTTTTACCAGCCCATGGTGGACAAAGTAGAGCACACCCTTCTCTCATTTCTTCAGTCTTACCCTTGTTTTCTGTGATCCCATTTAGGACAGATTTATTATACTAATAATTTTCAGACTACCGTCCAGTTAAACTAGTTTTCCTTCTATCAACATAGCCTCCAAAGCTGACTTTTCTTTCCTGTTACTCTCTCCTGTTAGTGTGCCTTTTATACCCAGGGACAAAGACACCTGACTCCTCTGCCCCAGTGATCCCAGCAGTACTTGAGGGGCCCCACCCAGCACCTCCAGTTTCCTATTCTGGCCTTTAGGCCTTTGCAGTATGGAAGGTCCCTTCACCATGTGCCTTTCCTCCCTAGGCATTCTGCAGAGCCCTTAAGTCACTACAGAAGTTTAACTCTGTCCTGGGCAAGAGCAAGGTCTGATTTAAAAAAAAAAAAAAAAAAAAAAAAAGACCCTCAACAAAAGAGTGATGAATCCCCTGTAGCTAGGAAGCCTGAATGTTACAGCTTAGGACAAAGCCTGTGTCAAGGACCTGGCTGGGGCTTCTCCCACATCTGGGGCTGCTCCTAGAGCCCCTCTCTGGGTGGGCAGGAAGGAGGAGGCATCTGGGGAGGCATGCCTCAACCTGTGACAAGGAACTAAAAGGCAAATCCTACATAGAAGAAATGTCAAACTGTGCCTAGAGACTCCAG